CCTTGTCTTCAAAACACTCCTGTGAGTGCTCTGCGGTCCTAGAGGAAAACGAGTCTTAAACACATGCAAGGTATTCTGATACCCAAACCCTTCCCGTCTCAGGCCCTGAGAGCAGGTGACTCAGAGAACATCAGACTCCGGGCTTCTGCCCTCCACTCCACCACCCAGAGGAAAGGCCATCCTGACACCACATTCTCCTCCCCGCACCAGGCCTCATCCTGGCTGGCAAGCTGGCCCAGCGTGACGAGAGCTCCAGAGCCCAAGCCTGCTTCCGCTGGACTGCGGCTGGATGCGTGGTGAGCGGTGCCCCCCTGCAGCCTGGAGCCTTGACAAGCATCAGCAGGAGGCCCAGCAGTAAGGCCAGTGCCACGGCTGCACAGCACAGACAGTCTCCTCTCGACCCCGGGCCCCGCCTGCAAAACATGCTCAAACCCTTCTTAGCCCTGATCCAAGCCTTTGCCCGTGCTATTTCCTCAGCCCAGAACACTCATGCGTATGTGCAAATAGGAATTATCTGAGAGTTTGGGTAAAATGCAGATTTCTAAGCCCTATCCGTAGAGTCTGGGCTACTTCTCCATTGGTGGTTTTGGATGTCCCCTCCCTTCTACTCTCCAGCCTGTGCAGGAAACAAAACAAAACAAAAAACCACCTTGGTTCAAACTCTTATCTTCTAGAACACAAGCCACCCAAATCACCACTGCTGCCAGTTTTCCTGCCAGAGATGCAGATAGAGGTGGAGAGGTTTCCAAGGAGACAGACCTCGGCTCTGCAGAAAGGTCCTTCTGTAGAAGGACTCTGAGAAGGGGGAAGGATGCAGATAAGGCATGACTGAACCGGGGAAACGCATCAGCATCTCACTGCAAAAGCAAACTTCAGCCAGCTGAATCCTCAGCTATCAGACAGTAGTAGATTGTGCTGACAGCCGACCACTTAGAACTAAACTCCATTCCGTGCTCATGAACCTATTAGATGAAAATGCCTCATTTTAGATAACTGCAAATTGCTTTCTGAGCATAATTTCCTATTAGTTCATTAATCTCTCTATTCAGAATGCCGACAAGACAGCTGATGATAATTCTGGAGGAAGTGGGCATTGAACCAAAGCAGGAGGCAAAGGGTTAGATATTTGGAAGTATCCTGGCTTCCGGGGTGGAGGGGTACCCCAAAATTAATTCATAACGCTAATTATAGTATTAGCTTTCATTTATTAAGCTCTTATAATGGGTCAGGTACCAGGCTAAGCATTTTCCCTTATTTATCTCAGTTGTTTTTTTTTTTAAACAATCTAGTAAGGTAGATATTATTTTCTTCTTTCTATAGAGGAAGAAATTGAGCCTCAGAAGTGATTACACTGTTAGTGGCAGAGTCAGGATTCAAATATAGGTGTGTGTGTCTGACCTACAGCCTGGGTTCCTAATCATACCTTAGCATTTTGACTCAGCACATAAATATTTACTGGATGAATTTACTGGAGAAACCAGGATGAACAAGACTCATGTCTATAGAGTGAGGCCAAGGGATGTTAACAGCAGAAGAGACTGAAAAATAATCAGCAAAGATGGACCAACCTTCAGAAAAAAGAAATGTCAGGTTGGAAAATAAAATTGGATTTTGTCAAACTCCTGCTTTCATAGAGAGCGGTGGTTCTCAAATTGTGGTCCTAAGACCAGAAGCAACAGCATCACCTGGGAACTTGTTAGAGATGCAAAATCTGGGGACCCACCTCAGACCCGCTGAATTGGAGACTCCAGGGCATAGGTCCAGGAAGCTATGTTTTAATAAACCTTCCAGGGGATTTTGATACACACGCGAGTTTTGAGACCCATAATCTAGAAAAATAAGATCAGCTCCACAAGGGAATTTGGAGCTCACGAGAGTAGTGCTTCTCAAACTTAATGTGCACAGGAATCACCAGGACAATCTTAAAATGCAGATTTGGGTGCGGCAGGTCTGGGGTGGGGCCTCAGCTCCCAGCTGATGCTGATGCTGCAGGACCAGGGTCCACACTTGGAGTAGCAATGGGTCTAAGCCAGGGCGTTTCTGGCAATAACACAACCAGAATTGCTCTAGGTTTAAAAAAAGGGGGGGCGGGTGAGAAAGAACCATTGCCTTTGGGATAGGTTCAGACCCAAGCCTCTGGAAATGCTTTAGGAAAACAGGAAATCACCCACATCACATACCACTTCTTTCCCAAAGTTCCCACTCAGGTATAAGACCTTCTCTGAGCACTTTAATGAAAATTGCAGCCCCTTCCCTGACTCTTCCTATCTCCCTTCTCTTCTTTGCTCTTCTCCTCAGCACGTGAGCATCATCTGAACAGATGACCTATTTTACTAATTTACTTTGTTTACTGTCTGGCCTTCCCCATCTCCATCTCTCACCAGCATGTAAGCTCCATGAGGGCAGGGATTTTGTCTGTTTCATTCACTGTTATTTCCCCTGTGCCTAGAACAGTGCCCGGTGCATAGTACGTGCTCAATAAACATTAGTCAAGTAAATGAACACACATTTCTGCCCATTTTTTCTAAGAAGCTCCCTCCCCACTCTCGGCGCTGCCCTCTGGAATTTCACCTGTTGCTGCTCTCATCATGTACTTCAGTTTCACCAAAATTCATTTCTCTATAGGTGCGTCTTCCCCTAAACTCCTTGACAATGGGGTCTGTGTGTTACCCTTTTCTGTCCTTCATCCAACCCTTCCACTCAAAATCCTGCCAACCTTTGAAAACACATATAAACAGCCATCCATCCTCACTATAATTAATGCAAAAAACACAGAATTTCATTCATGGAAGAGTAAGGTCAAACTTCAGCTGGTGATATCAGTCAGTAATGCATGCTCCTAATTACATACTAGAGGGAGCGCTAAACTCCACTGCCATCATGCAAGTACAACGTCAAAGTTCCTGAAGCAACCCAGAACTCTGCAGCTGTTACAGACTCTGTTTTCACCTTTCGCGCAGTTTTTCTAAGGGCTGAGGCAAATTAGAAAGATCAGTTGTTCCTTCCAACCACGGCTTGGTTTGAATCCTGCCTCTTAGAGTTCCAGGAGCTATATCTGCACAAGGTGGAGTGAGGAGGACTTTTGATAAAACATTGTCATCTTGGGCAAGGACATTTTACCCGTTCCTTCCAACCGCCCTGTGGCAGGGGGTGCTAATATCACGCCCACTTTGCAGGTAAGGAAACTGAGCCCTGGGATGACAGTCCCCTGCTCAAGGTCACACAGAGAGTGGCAATGCAGGTGGGACTCCAGCTCAGTTCTGGCTGCCTTAAAGCCTCTGCTTCTGGGACCCACCTCTCTCCCCCAGGTCCCCGTCCCTCCCCCAACCCTTGGCAGGGTCTGAGCCTCTGCTCATTACTTCTAGAACAGAGACGGCATGCGTGGACGCTATCTCATACTTCTGCCTCTAGCGCTGAAAATTAAAATGGCTCAGGGAGTATTCAGCCTTGCCGGCTCCTGGCTGCATCCCTGTCACCTAATTACCTGACTTCAAAGCCTCCACTCGGCAGGTGTGAAGATGTGAAAGCTGCCGTTTCCCCTGAGAACACGGAGTGACTACGCACAGATAAGACAGGCCCCAGAGCAGCTAGGGTACCTGGGAAATCAGACAGAACTTCGAGTTGGACCCAAGGGCTTGGATTAGTGTGTCTCAAAGTCAGAAAGACCAGCGGCCGCCATCCTGAGTACTCACCTGAGAGCCGGGTCTATACAGGACCAAGGTGGGGATGTGGGCCTCCAGACACTAACGCTTGGTAGTTACTGCCCCCTTCTCCTTCCCTTGTGCCACGGAGCTTAAGGCTCCTCTAGAGGCTGGAACTCATTCATCCTCCCCACAACTCCAGGAGGGAAGGGCACTCAGCCTCACCTTTTGACTGAGACATCCAGGCTGGGGGAAGAGTAAGAACTCCTTCATGGGGCAGGGATGTGGGGAGGCCTGAAGGAACCCAAATGAGTTCCCAGCCTGGACTGGACAAGGAAGAGGAAGTCTAGAGGAGAGAGAAGGGTTCTTACTTTTCAACTTAGTGGCTCCTGTAAGGTGATCAGAGGCACACTCATTTGTAACCCTTAGATACAGCTGAATGTTATTGACTATTTTACAGTAATTGGACCAAAGCAGGTATTTAATACAAGTTTACAGAAGGAAAGAGGAAGGCCAGACAGAAAGGCATTTGTGACCTTTGACAGAGGACAAAACCCTAAGCCTCGCACTGGGCTATGTCCTTTGGTGCTGATTTATTCAATGCTCACTGTCACATTGGGCAGGTGTGATGATTATTCCTTTCATGCAGATGAAAATGCAGAAATGTGGGGCAACTTGCCCAATGTCATTGAGCTAGACAGCCACTTCTTATCTGTGTGACCTCAGGTTTATCCTTGCTGGGAGTCAGCTTTCACATCTGTAAAATGGGAAGACTCAGAACCGCCGCCCCCCACCCCGAGAGGCACCACAAGAAGAAAAAATAAAGGGCAAAAGGCCTTTGCAAACTCTAACTCAGGGATCAGCAAACCGTGGCTGAGTGGCCAAAGCCAGCCACGGCATATTTTTGTACAAAAGCCTTTACTGGAATAAATAAATTTGTCACACTTACTTGTTTATATATTGTCTATGGCTGCTCTCGAGCAACACAGCAGAGCTGAGTGGTTGTAACAGGGACCCACTGGCCCACAAAGCCTAAAATATTTACTATCTGGTCGACTAGAGAAAAAGTTTGCCAACCTCTGATTTCAGATGCTATGAAAATGCAAGTTCCCACTGTGCCTCTGCAGACAGCACTATGCGTTTCCAGCATCGCCCTCAGCTCTGCTTCTTATTCATAAGCTCTCTCCTTGACCCTTTACCCATGTGCAGAGGTTGATTTAAGACCTATTTCTGAAAAAACAGAGAAGCAGCTCTCCTGAGAGCCAAGAAACCAAAATCCCATAAGCTATTTCAGAGCCCAGGATGGCTCCTGCCGACATCAGGCACCATGAAAAGGTGCTTCCAGGAACAGCCACTTACTTGCAGTTTTTACACTTGAGGCCAAAAAGCATCCCCTTCCCACAGACTGTGCATGTCTGAGACATCCAGTACTTCGTGGAAAACCTGTGGGAAAGAGACAGAAAGTGTTCAAGGCCAAGGTGATGGTGACTGACGGATCTCTAGAAGGATGACCACTGACAGGATAAGAACATGGGCCCTGGATTCCAGCCCCTCTTCTTCAGAGATAGGTGACTTAATCGAGTTGCTTAAACTTCAGTCTCTATCTGTAAAGTGGGAATAATAACAGTATTGACCTCATAGGTTGTTCAGAGGATTAAACAAGGTCATGCACAGTGCAAGGGCTTTACATAGTGCCTTGTAAACAGAAAGTGCTCACTGAATTGGGCTGTGACTGTATTGTTACCCAAACATTCATAACAGTCATTCAGTCGTTCAACAAACATTGCCTGCCTGGAGGTCTACTATGTGCCAAGTTCAGATTGGAGACAGATGGATAGGGCTAGAACTGTCCTCAGAGAACCACAAAGCAAGGTGGGGCCCCCCGGCGGTCTATTCCCCATCACTGCTAGTTACATCGCCTGGGAAGCTTCAAGAAGGGATGATATCCCCAAAAGTGGAGACTGCAAACGTTAGTAGCAGAGAAGAGGGCCCTAAAGGGAAAGCCATTTTGGACATCAGCCCACCTCGCTCCCCAGCCACCACCACTTGCTGCAAACATAAGGCAGTGTAGAGGTTTCCGATATACAGCTAGGAACCAGTGGGAACAGAGATGCATTTGATTAACTTCTGGGGCCCCCTGCTGCCGCCAGGGTGCTTTCCTCTTCATGAGATACCAGGCAGCAGCAGGGCTGGCCCCAAGAAAAGTATTGAAGGTTGCCAGGTCAGAGTTAATTTTCGTTTTCAATTTTTGTCACCTTCCGCAGGAGTTGTAGCTAATCTCCACTGCCTCACAGTGTCAAAATGAAAATCAGAAGCGATTATGTAACTTGGTGCTTAAGAATTCTGAGGGCCAGCCTGCATCCCTCTGCTGTACCATCTTGCCTGATTTAGGTCAGTCACTCTTCCAACAGAATGATCTGCAGCCCAAAGCCTCCATAACTAAGCAAATAGTAATATTCTGAAGAGACACTCTTGTGGCCAGGAAAACTCCCTTTCCAGTTTTGGACTGGGGGTTGGTTAAGTCCCTTTCTGCCCCTTTAGCAGGATGAGCAAGTGTGGCAGGATCTATTTTGCAGGATTTGTCAGCTCTGGGGAATGGCAAACGGACTCGTGTTTCATCCACCAGCCAGCAGCACGGGAATCAAGAGTATGAGTGGCAGGTGGGAGTTCCTTCTCCTTTCCAGCCCTCTCCCATCCCTGGGATCAGCAATCCCTCTTCCAAGCTGTGGCTGAGGTGACTCTGAGGACAGCGGATGGTATGGGATTTTAATTTCATTTTTTCACCAAGGCTGGGATGAGTCTAGGTCTTTCCATCCTGGCGTGGAGCCCAGAGAGAAACACAGGGTGAGACTGGAGAGTAACAAGGCACCCCAAGCGCCAGCTCCTCTAAGAAGATGTTCCTGATGCCCAAGATCATCAGATCATTTTCCTCCTCTTGGCACCAGCATTTGAATCTGAGGTACCACCAGGTCTAACATTAGGGTGCTAGAGTCTAGTGTCGTGGCTGAGCCATGGGTGTGGCCAATTGGGTGGAGCCAATCCAGGGGTGTGGCCAATCCAGGGGTGGAGCTGAGCTAGGGGTGTGGCCAATCCAGGGGTGGAGCTGAGCCAGGGAGCAGCCTGTAAGCAAACAAAACAAGGCCCTTCTTTTTTTTTTTTTTTTTGCGGTACGGGGGCCCCTCCCTGTTGTGGCCTCTCCCGTTGCGGAGCACAGGCTCCGGACGCGCAGGCTCAGCGGCCATGGCTCACGGGCCCAGCCGCTCCGCGGCATGTGGGATCTTCCCGGACCGGGGCACGAACCCGTGTCCCCTGCATCGGCAGGCGGCCTCTCAACCACTGCGCCACCAGGGAAGCCCAGGCCCTTCTTTTTGATGCCTTTCCCTCTGCATCTCACCGCCTGATCACTGACGTGTCTATCGTGTGTTTCTCACGACTTCCTCCACCGTTTTCCCATTTGAGTCTTAACAACTATCCTGTCAACATATTTCTTTCAAAAACTGTTGACGAGATGCCATTCCGGGAGAATGTGCTCATTCCTGCCTCAGCCCGGGTTATGGTGACGTGTCTGCCCCTGGAATTGCCTCCCCCGCTTATAGCCCTGATCCCCACCACCACCGCACTGTCATGGTCTGTTAACTGTCTATCCCTCCACTAGACCTCAAGTTTCCCAAGGTTGAAAGCCTTACGTCGTGTTCAGTGCTGCAGCCCCGGTACAGATATTCTCTCTAAATACTAGTGGAAAGAAACCATGAATGAGTGAACTCTCTGCTGGTCACAGAGACCTCGTGCAAAGAAAGCTCTCAGCAGAGGTGTCAAAAGAACACAAAATGCTGGGGTTAATTAGCTTGTAGATTCATCACTTAATCATTCAGGGACTCAGTTTCCTATCTGTCAAATGGACATGACCACACTTGTGCTACTTACCCCACTGAGTTTGTGAACAGATTGTGAGGATAATGAGATAAAATGTGGAAAGTTAACTTCGTATAAGGGATGACTTAGTAGATAGAAATCTTCCTCCTGAAAAGGGCAGGTGTACTCCTGGAGAGGTTGTCCCGGGCACCCAACAGGGCTGGAGCCCTGGACTAACCTATGCTTCAGCAGAAAGTGAGTATCTCTGACTTCAGCCTGCAATCTTGTCTTCTGGGTGGGGAGACCCAAAATTAGGACAAGCATTTGTCTTAATATTGATACCATTTACTGAGTGGTTATTATGTGCCAGGCCCTTTGCTTAGCACTTTAATATATTATCTCATTTAATCCTCATGACCACCCTATGAGTAGTCAGAAATATCTGATGAGAAAATTGAGTCTCAGAGAGGTTAAGTAACTTCCTCAGGGTTGCAAAGCTTTACTAGCTGGGATTGGAATAGAGGTCAGTCTGACTCCAAAGCCCTGGCTTTTAACCAGTAGGTGTTAAGTTTACGAGCCAGGTGAATAAGAAGCAGACATCTCAGTCCCTTGCCACATTGAGGTTCAGCCTGGCAGAGGAGAGAAGAGCATGGTGATATCGGAGCTGGGGCAAAACAGCCTGCCAGCCTTTCCCCACGCTGGGGCCAGAGGCCCCAGCCCTCTCTGTGCTGGGAGGTGGGCCCCAGTGCAGCCAGGAATCCAGCCTACCTGTGCTTGATGGAGTTGCCGAGGTCTCTGCGAGGGATCTGTGGGGACCAGCGTGGCACTGACAGTGTGTCTGCAGGGAGAGAAGAGAGGAGGAGAAGGTCCTGTTACACAGAGAATCGGAAGTGGGGGGGGGGGCTCCCACCAAGCCCCAGAAGGAAGAGGGAGGCTCGCTGGCCTCAGGAAGGACACTGGCCACCATCACTTGCTAAACCAAAGCCAAATGGAAAGCTAGTTTAGCTTGTGTTACCTTAACTCACGCAAGGTCCCCCGGGTGGGGCAGTGCCTGGAAAAAAACCAGCTGGGGGAAGAATAAAACTGAGCATGGCTCCCATCTACCAAGTGCTTACTGTGTGCCAGGCACGTGCCATGTGACTCACATGCCTGAGCTCGTTACATCCTCAAAACAAGCAACTTTCCAGGTGAGGAAGCTGAGGCTTGGAGAGAGGAAGTCGTGTGCTCAAGATCATACACCTTGTAGATCACACAGAAGCTGTGAATCCAGGCTTAAGGGACCTAGAACACGTGCCTGTGTATGCAAAGTTCTAACTTAGCAGATTCCAAATGCCAGTTGTACAAGTATCACTTTCCTAATTTTTGTCACGCCCCTGTACAACCCATAAAATTATCTACTTAATATTTTAGGTTGACTTATTTGTTTGTTTAAACGCATTTATTCTCAAAGCAACTCTATATGGAAAACCAATATCACTTTCTGTATAAGTAACTATTTAAAATATGTCTAACTATGTACCACCTAAGCTCATGCTGGAATAAGTGGATGGATTGATGAATGGATGATTGAGTGGGTAGGTGGATGGGTAGGTAGGTGGGTGGATGGGTGGGTGGACGGATGGATGGATGAATGTCTGGATAGGTGCATGGATGGACAGATGAGTCAGTAGATAGACAGATGGGGAGGTGGGTGGATGGACTGGTAGGTGGGTAGATGGATGGATGGATGAATGGTTGGATAGGTGGGCAGATGGACAGATGAGTTGCAAGGTGGACAGATGGGTAGGCAGATGGATGGACTGGTAGGTGGGTGGGTGGATGGATGGATGGATGGATGGACAGCTAGATGAATGGATAAATTGATGGATTAATGGAAATGAGGAAGAAACAATAAATCACACAGACTTCAGGCTGGGTGCCTATGCCCATCTGGTCTTTTCTTTCATGCCTCAGGCTACATCCCAGCGACCCACACTGTCACTCCACCACTGACTGAGTTCCAGGACTTCTTCCACAGCCTCTGGGCACCAGCCCCCACCTTCACTCCACTGCCTGGTTGCCCGCATCACCCTTCTCGCAGACCTCACAGGCCCCAGAGAGGTGTGAAACAACAGCAGAAATGGACCGGTGCGGCCTGTGAAACCTCCACCAGCTAGGGGAGAGGAGAAGGAAGTGGCTGACCCACACGCCAGCTCTCATTTCTCAGGCCAGATGGATGGAGCCAGATCCCTGTCCTCAGAGCTGCAAATGCACGCCTCATTTTTCACAGCAGTTGTTATGGAATGGCACGCTCACTGGGGAGCTGGGCATGTCTGCAACGATCAGGGAGCATTTAACCCTAACCCATTCACTCCTCTCTTCTGTCTAATGACACTGTCAACAGCCATCTGAAAGCTGTTTCCAGAAACCCCAATTCTGCCCTTGTAAAGCTGGGACCATTTCTGGAAGAGCTAATGATTTCCCAAGCCCCAAAGGCCAGAGAAAGGGAGACAGCATGATATATCACTCAGAATCAGAGCCACTGGAATTTCCTCTAGTTTAACTAAAAACTAAATGTCATCAAGTCCAAGCCCATTTTATTATTTGTTTTGGCTTCTGAGAGAAGCAAAAAAGACAAGAAAGAAAGACAATTTTAAAAGAGAGAGAGAGAGAGCAGGGGATTGAAGTCAGATTTGTAAGGAAGCATGCTGCTACCTGCTAAGTCCTTAAGATGCTTTCTCCAGTGCCAGGGATGGGTAGAGGTGGAATGGCTATGCTGGAGAGGAAGGGTTAGCTCAGATACACAGCCTCCTCATGGGGAATCTGCAAAGTGAGGAGTGCCAAAGGGGTTTCATCTCATGGGATGTTAGTAGTGGCTGTCTAGGAAAGTGTGTTGAGAAGGATTCTGAGGCTCAAGAGGAAAGAGCATTGAGATTGATTAGTAACATTTGCCATGGGTGAAGAATAAGGCAGTACCAACAAGTCTCCATATTTTTGCCACTCCTACAAGGACAGGGACCACATCTTCATCTTTGCATCACTGCCTCATAGCACAGCAAGCACCTGGGACAAAGTAAGTACGTAACACATGTTTGCTGAATCTGAGATTCTTATCATAGAAACAGTGAATTTACTGAGCACTCAATATGTGGTAGGCATAATTCTGTGCAGTTTATACGCAGAAGCTTTGCCTCTATGCAGTCGGTGTTCTCATTATTCCCACTGCACAAAGGTAGACACAGAAGCTCAAAGAGGTGCAGTGACTAGCTAAAGGTCACACAGCCGGGCACTGGTAGATCCTCAAGGGGTAACTCTGCAGTTGTTCCCGAGACTTCCAAAAGCCCCTATATCAGCATCTTCAATCAGGGGCACTTTTGCCCGGGGGAACATTTGGCATTGTTTGGAGATACTGCCAAATAATTGGGGTGGTGATGTGGGGATGCTACTGGCATCTAATGTGTAGAGACCAGGGATGCTACTCAACATTCCACAATACACAAGACACATCCCCACGCCAAAGAGCTAACTAGACCCGAGCTTCCCTGGTGGTGCAGTGGTTGGGAGTCCGCTTGCCGATGCAGGGGACACGGGTTCGTGCCCCGGTCTGGGAAGATCCCACATGCCGCGGAGCGGCTGGGCCCGTGAGCCATGGCCGCTGAGCCCGTGCGTCCGGAGCCTGTGCTCCGCAACGGGAGAGGCCACAGCAGTGAGAGGCCCCCGCACTGCAAAAAAAAAAAAAAAGAACTAACTAGACCCAAATGGCAATAGTGCCAAGGCTGAGAAACCCTGATCGAGATGTTTTTCACTTCTCTAGCCATCTCCCCACCCCCTCCCTCTCCCCACAATCTTGAGATGGTACTTCTGAAGCTCAACTCAGTAGAGAACAAATCCTCTTTTATTATAAGCACATCTCACTGTTAGATTCATATCCTAGTTGTTCTCATTCTCAATTACAGCACCCTCTTGAAAAAGTAGATGTAATTAAGTTTGGTGGTTTGGTTTCATTTCCCAATATCTGGTTGAAGGAGCAAATTCCGTCAGTTACATTCATCGGCTGCGACAACATTAGTCTCCAGCAATAATAACCTCCACACGGCTTCGTCCCTGGGTGTGCAGATCTGAACTCTGAGATCTTCTCTTTACTTTCTCCATTTGGATTTCCTTAAACTTGCCAATGCAAGCCTTAAAGCAAAGGAAAACTGTTTAAAGGGAAAATCTATGAAAATTCAGGCCTTATCACAACAGAGAAGGCAAACAGCACTTATAGCAATTAAACTGATATGGAAACTTCTGTTTAACAATCAAAGTGCCTATTAAGATGTCTCCATAGCTGAACAAAAGCTTCTTTTTACTCTAATTTTCTGATAACAAGACACGCAGACACGGAGTCAGAATTATGACTATCCCTGGTGCCTTTGGTTCCAGGGATAGAATAATAGACATTTCTTCCCAGATATTTTCATTTGCGGTGCATGGCAAGGGAGAGGGCTGGAGAGAAGGGGTGCTTTTCTTCCCTCCTTTAGGTCCCACTGTTGATGCCCTCTCAAAAGTGCCTCTGTATAACAGGAGGGGAGAAACCAGGAGGCTTGGTCTTTGACAGCTTGGTAGCCAGATAATCAAACAGAAGCCACGACAGAAGAAACCGATATTAATAAAGCATCGTGGTAGGCTGAGCCATGATGAAATGAAAGACTCAGGCTCTGACCTGGTGAGTTTGAACTCAGGCTAACAGAGTCAGGCATGGGGAAAACTCTTGAAAACATTTAACACAGAGACATCACGTAAAAATGGGTGATGATAAAGCAAAGGAAAAGGAGGGAAAAGAAGAGGAAGAAAGAAATAAGAATAATGGTGTGAATTTTAAAAATGAGAAATAAGAAAAATAATAAATATGCTTTGTGTTGAGTGTTACCAGGTGCCAAGCACTATTGCCAAATAAGCCCTTTACATATATTATCTCATTTTATCCATACACTGCATGTGTGTGCACATGTGATGTATCAACTGTTATCATCGGTGCCACAACACCAACAAGGAAATCGAGAAGTTATACCATTTGCCCAAGGTCACACAGCAAGTAAAGGCCAGGACTGGGTTTTTTAAATTCAGGTCACATAGCTGGGGCTCAATAAACGACAGCCAATTTCATCCCCATTTCACAGATGGGAATACTGAGGCTTAGAAGCAATAAGCAGCTGGCTATAGCTAAAAAGTGACTGAGTGGTGATCTGAACCCCAGAGAGGAACAAACTGGATGCTTCTAGTCCAGACTGCTCTCCAGATACATGGAGTTCAACCCATCCTGTATTGTCTGTGCCTCCCACCTCTGTCTGGGGAAAGCAAAGGAAACAATGAGAAGCAGCCCTTTTAAACTCAGAAAAGGGCCTCAGAGGCTCAGAAAGCAATGTCACAGTATGTTGTTTATTCCTACTATCATTCATAGAGTTACTCAGTAAACATTTTGTTGAATATGCCTACCCGCCACCCCCAAAGATGTCCATCCTAATCCCTGGGCCCCATAAAATATATGACTTAACAGGCAAAAAGAGATTTTGCAGATGTGACTGAGTTAAGGATCTTGAAACGAGAGATTAGTCCGAATTAGCCAGGTAGGGCTGATGTAATCGTAAGTGAAAGAGGGAGGCAGGAGGGTCAGAGTCAGAGAAGGAGATGTGATGTTCGCTGGCTCTGAGAATGGAAAGGGGCCGAGTGCCAAGGGATGCAGCAGCCTCTGGAAGCTAGAAAAGGCAAGAGAACAGAGTTTCCCCTGGAGCCTCCAGAAGGAAACAGCCCTGCAGACACCTGAACTTTAGCCCTGAGACTGTTTTTGGATTCCTGACCTCCAGAACTGTAAGATAA